CAATCAGCGCGGGCCTAGGCGTCACTTCGACCAATAGGCGGTCGGCGGGGGCGGGCTCCGGGGAGAACTAGGCTGCGCCGGGGAGTAAACAAGCGGCGCGGGGCGGGCCGGGGGGCGTGGGGCTCGCCCGGCAAGGGAAGATTTGATTCCAAGCGGCGGCGCTCTGGGACGACCTAAAGGGTCTCGACCGCAGTGTAGAAGGAAAGGAAGATTGCTAACCCCCTGGAAAACAAGGTTTAGCACTGAATAAGAAGAAGGGACCGGGCGCAGGGAAGCCAGGAGTTCTTTGTTTATAGGATTTATTTTCTCTGTGTGTGTGTGTGTGTGTGTTTGCATGAGAGTGCAGTGCCCGAGGAGGCCAGAAGAGGGCGTCGGATTCCCCCCCCCCCAGCGGGAGTTACTACGGGTGTGAGGTGCTGCTGGGAACTGAACTGTCCTCAGCAGGCATTCTTCACCTCTGAGCCAGTTCTCCAGCCCTGTTGGGTTGTTTTTAAAACTAAGGTTTCTTGGAAGTGTTGTTGCTTTGAGTCCGACTCTGTGGACGTCAAGACACACCTGCTTTTGAGGAAGTTGCCCTGACAGGGAGACCCATAGTAAATACTCAAACCCTTAAAAATCAGTTTCCTTGGATCCACACAGCTGCTTTGTGTAATCAATCTTACGAGGGAAAGCAATGCTCACAGAGTTTGGGTTCTGATGTGCGACCTGACATCCGGTTGTCCAGCCATACAAGGAGGTAGCAGCTGTCAAATTTTTTCATATTTGCTAGCTTCACAACCGCAGTTTATCCTAATTCCTGGGGTAGACGATCCTTACGTCCTCATTTTAGAAGACAAGTACGTCAATCAGGTGGCGCGTTTTTCACCCTTTGTATGTGGTCTTTATATGATTAACTTCTCTATAGGTATCCACATACATGATTTTTTATTTTCTCTAAACTCCTCCCCCCAAAAGTCCTAGTACAAGGACACTTGTTATACATGTCAATCTAAATAATATTTTTAAAGATGTGTTTTGTTTTGTGTGTGTGTATGTGTGGGTTCAAGTGTGTGTATATGCACTTGTGTGTGTGTAGGTGCCCAAGGTTGCCAGAAGAGGGCACTGCATACCCTGGAACTGGAGTTACTGGCAATCCTGAGCCACCACGTCGGTTCTGGGAAGCAGGTCTTCTGCAAGAGCAGAAAGTGCTCTTAACCACTGAGCCATCTCTCCAGTCCCTTAAGTGATATTTAAAAAGGATCTTGTAGGCATAACTCACGGCCCTGAAAAAAACCTTAAAAAGTATATGCAATGTGGTACAAAATATAATGTACAAAAACAGCCCATGAGGAAAGATCAAGAGGGAAAATCATTTGGGAAAAACTCCTATCCAGCTAGGCTGTATATCTTAAAATCAAAACAAGGACCTGGAGAGATGGCTCCCTGGTTAAGAGTACATGCTGCTCTTCCAGAGCACCCTAATGTGGTTCCCAGTACCCATAGCAGGTAGCTTACCACCGACCACCTGTACTCCCAGCTCCAGGGAATCCCCTGCCGTCTCATGGCCCCACATACATGCGGCACACACACACACACACACACACACACACACACATCCAAGTCTCTACAGAGTTGGCAGTGACTCTTCTACATTGTAAACTCAGAATGATGAGGTGGCAAATCGCACCTCTGCTTCTCTGTTTTTATTATCTGAGCAGTGCTATATGCTCCAAGAAGTTTGCCTCTTGCGGATGACAGAATAAGTTACCAGCAGAAGCGATTAAGACATGGCAGTTCTTTTGCATTGGAACTGTCTGGCTGTCTTTAAGGGGAAAAGCCCCATAGCTTTAGAGTGGATTCAACCTTTAGTTTTCACTGTGTCTCCAAGTCAAGATGAAATGCTGACACCAAGACAGAATAGATGGTGTGCATGAAATGAGTCACATGTCTGAAGCCACCAGCTAGCGAGAACAATCTACAGGAGAGGAAGGAACTCGAGTGACTCCCCCCCCCCTACTCTTCTTTAGTCTAAAAGCCTTGAGTAAAAGAAGATTGAGTAAAATATGGAAAACAACAGATGGTCCCTGAAACAGTCAGTATCCAAGCATATGCAGAATCCAGGCTGCTAGTGTGGCATTTCAGTTTAGAGGGCTCTTCTTTGTCTCTGCTTCATCATCTCTGCGCCATCACAACTTCAATGGAGACACTTGACTTTTATTTAGGTTTCTTACTGGCCCTCCCTGGGACATTTTCCTTGGTGGTTTAGATCACAGCATTTATTTCTTCTTTTTTTTTTTTAAAGATTTATTTATTATGTATACAACATTCTGCTTCCATGTATATCTGCACACCAGTAGAGGGCACCAGATCTCATAACGGATGGTTGTGAGTCACCATGTGGTTGCTGGGAATTGAACTCAGGACCTCTGGAAGATCAGTCAGTGCTCTTAACCTCTGAGCCATCTCTCCAGCCCTATTTCTACTTTTTATCAAAACATTTATTTAAAAAATTTTTTTTTTCTAAGACAAGGTTTCTCTGTGTAGCCCTGGCTGTCCTTGCTCTATAGACCAGGCTGGCCTCAAACTCTGATATCAGCCAGCTTCTGCCTCCTGAGTGCTGGGATTAAAGGTGTGCACCACCACTGCCTGGCTAAACATTTATTCATTATTTTTTAAAACTCATAACTACTATAATCCCAGCACTCAGGAGGCAGAGGCAGGGTAAATAAAATTTCAAGGCCAGCCCGGGCTACAAAGAAACCCTGTATTAAACAAAACATAGGTCAATGAGATGGCTCAGTGGATACAGGAACCTACCGCATAAGCCTGGTGACCGGAGTTCAATCCCTGACACCTATGTAAAGGGAAGAGAGAACCAACTCCACAAAGTTGTCCTCTGACCTCCACACATGCCAAGGATCCAGCCAAGATTTTCATTTGCTCATTTGACAAGCATTTCCTACACTGCGTACGCATGGGACAGGCACCTTTCTAAAGGCTGGGACTCTGGCAGGGACAAAAGCCTCCACCCTCATGGTGCTTGGAATCCAATGCTGGGACAACAGAAAACACTTGAGACTGTATTTTTAAGATCTAGCAGAAAGTGTTAGGAACGAGAGAAGAAGGAAACTTTGAGGAGATGCTATCTGAGAATGAAGGAAATCAAGGAGGTGACATTTGAACAGGGGTTTAAGTGAAATGAGGGGCAAGCCTTGTAGACTGGGAAGACATGTCCTAGGTGGAAGTGACAGCAAATGCAGAGGCCTTGAATGACGACCCCTTCTGGGACTCTTCCTCACAAAACTCACTGAAGGGTTGGTAGCAGCTGATGTGTAGCAGGAGCTCAGCAACAAATACATCTTTGGGACAGACAGATGAAAGTCATTTCTTCCCATTCCTGTACACATCTATGTTACCCTTTCATCTGGGACGTTCTCTTTGTTGCCTACCCAAATGCTTTTCTCCCTGTCACCCCACACCCCCACTGACAGCCTAGGCTAGCCTCAAATTCATGATTTTACTGCCTCAGCCTCCTGTGTGCTAGGCTTACATGTGACAGCATGTTCTGTTCAACCAGGATAATGGAAGAAAGGAAGGCAACTGGAGACCAGGCAGCAGATCTTGCATAGCAACAGCTTGTATCAAAACCAGAGCTAGGCATGGCGGCACGTACATTTAATCCCAGAACTCAGAAGGCAGAGGTAGGTGGATCTCTGTGAATTCTAGGCCAGCCTGATTCACATAGCAAGTTCCAGAACAGCTACAGAGTCAAAACTTGTTTTGAGAAACCTTGTCGCAAAACAAAAACAAACAAAAACCTTAGGCATGATGGTGCCCACCTGCACGCCTAGCATTCAGGAGGTGGAGGCGAGGACGTCAGCACCTGCTTGGCACTCTGTAGTGAGACCCTCTCTCAAGCCCAAATAAAACAGCCTCCAGTTTAATGTTGGGCTTCGCTTGCTTGATTCCCTGGCCTTGGAGCACGGGGACTGCACATGCTAGTTTTCAGTATGCGTGCATGCCACAAAAGGGTTCCGCAGCTACAATTCTGAGTGATACAGCCAGGAAACTCTCAGTCAGCTGTCTCAGGAGACGGACACTGCAACCCTGAAAGCTCACCAGGCTGTCAAGATACACAAAGTAGCCTCTGCGTGTTGTGAAGCAACACAATCCCAACAGTCCTCATCCCCCATGGGGGAGGGGGGGCAATTTGCTCTTTCTCACTGCCCCATCCCAGCACTCACAAACAGAATCCTATGACATCTGATTTATTTGCCCTGCTTCTGCCAGCAACTACTACTCCACATCTCCTGTGATAACTGCCTTGATTATAATGCTTTCAAAATTACAGTTCTGCTTGCATTTCACTTCTGAACAGTTCCAGAATATTCACTTGTCCTTGTCCCGTCACAAGTGATAGCCAGTCACTTCTGTCTGTCTCTATGGCACACCATAAATATGTCCAGAAGCAAAACACCCGAGTTATATACTCACCAAGATTTATATGCCTTTCATTTTTTATTACCAATCAAAAATAAATTCCATATATTGTTTAGCAAATATTATCATTGTTTTGTGACAAAAGACACAAGAGTCATAACAACAAAACTCCCCGAGAGTCAAACTCATAACAATGCCAAAATAAATCACAAAAATATACAAATTAAAATCTTAATGCAAAATAAATAGGAGTCACTTGCTACGGCAACTGTGACTTGCCTACCCACTTGGATGCCACCTGTGAAGTCTTCCTTACCTGGGAAGACATACAGACCAGGCCAGTTCCAGGGTATGGCTCAGCCCAGGAACCAGAGGTTGGAAGAGGAAGTGAAAAATTGCACTGGGAGGAGGAAGTCAGGAGACCAGTAATATTTGGAAACAATTATGACCCTCTGCAAGAAGTGATTCTAAGTGGGGGGGGGGCTGGGAGGGGAGGGGGCCTGTCTGTTGGTGGTGACTGTGTATGCAGAGAGGTAGCTGTGGAAGTGTGCGCACCTGCTACTTTTGCCTCACACCCACCGCATGGTTTTGTTCTACCTGGTACTTGGGTCTCTCAGGAACACAGCGGAGCAGCTCCTCTAGGGACATGGGAACGTGCTGTACCTACGGAAAACTAAGGGTTTCTTAAGGACATGAGGTCTGGTGTCTTTTTTCCCTTGCGATTGAAAACCCCTTTCTTTGCCAGGCTTCTAGGAGTAAATTCTGTGAGTGGAAGAGACCTCAGACTGACCAGGGGTACAAGACACCTTGGTCCTAGGAGTTAGGATTCTCTGAGTACACAGACAGCAGAGTACTTGGGGTGACAGGACTCCACTGGCTGAGGAAAGGAGTGGATATATATTACACAAAAGGCCTGCGGTCTTACTTCCCTGGATCTTACGTACCAACAAAAGGGAAGATGTGGCCCTTGGTCCTAAAGTCTCCTAACAATAGAGGTGTGGAGCTCTAAACCACAGCCTGATTCTACTCTGGTTTCCCAGGGTGGCAATTGGGGTAGGATTTCACATGGTGTACATTGCTTAACAGTACCAACAGTGTAAGCCCAAGCTTAACTTTGTCCTCTCACTAGGGTAATCCTCAGGCAAAGAGGACCGGGCTAGCCACTGCATGCCATCAGGTGAAACCCTCCTTTCCTGGGGGTCCTTAAATGAGCAAATGAGGTCGGGTGGGATCCTCAGCCAGCTACACAGGTAAGGGTGTGATAACCCAGCTTGGGTGGCTTCCAACATGTCCTGTCCCCAGTTCCTAGAGGGATAAGTATAGAAATCAGAATGGGGAGTTGGGGAAGAAGTCTCCGTGGGTGAACTGCTGAACCCTGATTCTTCTTGCAGGTGTGGGTGGGTATAGCAGTAACTGCTAACACAGATACCTACAGTTACATTCAGCCCTGGAACCAAAAGGAGTATCCGGCAAGTCACCTCTAACGTAGGTGCTGTCCCCTCCAAGAGGAAACCTTTGGTAAAACTGAGGGCATGGCCCAGAAGCAGATAATCGACTGTAGAGCCAAAGACCATGCCTAACTCTTGGAGCCAGACCCTTACAGGAGAAAATTGTCCAAAGAAGAAGATGAGAGCCAGGGGGTGGTTCTCGGCTGAGTCCTGACTCACCAGGAAAGCCTGTGGACAGAGTTCTAGGAGATCCCTGGATCTGGTAGTTGACAAGAGTAGATGTAGTCCTCTCTGTTGCCAGGGTCATCATGTCAGCCTCAGTGACCTTGGTGCATGTATCCTAGCAGTTGATGTCAGGATCATTTGGATCTCTTTCTAGGTAGAACTGTCTTTCCCCCAGGAGTCCCCTCCTGTGGGCTCCAGGCCCCCACTGCTGTAGAAGAGTGGCTCCTTGAGCAACAGATGCAGGCTGCAAGGGTTTGGCCAGGAACACATTATGGCTGTTGCTTCCTGGGGTGAGGAACCCTCCTCCCCTTTTAAAGTTTGTAGGGTTTCTTGAAAAAAAATTTTTTTAACATAAAGTTCCTTAACCCTGTCTTCCCTTCCCAAAATGATATTTAAAAAGAGGAGCAATGAGCCTAGCTTTAAAATCCTCTCAGTGTTTAAAAAAAAAAAAAAAAAAAAGACAAAAACATCCTTTGCTTACTAGCTAGGCAGGCATCATCTCAGAGCTGTTAAGAGGTCCCCATCTGCAGCCAGATCCCCTGGGAGGGATGCCTAGTTGCTCAGTCACGCAGGATATCAACCTGCACCCCTTCTAGCCTAACAGGCTCCCTGACGTCATATGGGCCCACTGGGGAGACCCCTGCAGGGTAGGCAGGAGTCCCCGGGCCCTCCTGTCAGATAGCACCCTCCTGGGAGGCTCTGTGCAGCAAGGAATTTCGTTCATTGAGAAGAGTCGTGGTCTCATCCACTACAGGCAGCTCAGACTTCTCAGAAAAGTTCTCTGAGCAAGTGGCACAGCCATCCAAAGCGAGCTGAGGGCTGTTGTCCATGCGGGAGGCCATCAGCCCATTCTGGTACTGCTGCCTCGTGATCTGCAGAGCGAGGGAGAGAGAGAGAGAGAAGGGTGGGTCTGAGATGCAGGGCTGAGATGTGAAGATCCACCTAGACTGGGCCAGCAGATGGAAGATGGAAGGAAAAGTGTTCTGGGGGCAAACGAGAGGGATCTGCAGGGAAAGGCACCTGCCACAGAAGCTTGGGGGCCTGAACCCATATCAAAGTGGAGAGAGAGAACTTTGTTCTTTGTCCTTTGACCTATGCGCACATGTACGCATGCCTCACCACCACCACCATCGATTGTCTTAGGCCAGGCATGGCGGTACATGTCTGTAATGCCCACACTCAGGGGGCTGCAACAGGAGGTTTTCAGAGCTTGAGACTAGCCTGGACTATACAGTCAGACCACGTATGTCTCAAGAAAACAAGAATGCAAGAAGAGCTAGGAGCATAGCTCAATGGTACACTGTTGGCCTGGCACGCATGACAGCCTGGATATATATCTCCAGAACTACAAGAGAAATACAACAAGTGACATCTAAATTTTTTTTTTTTTTTAAGAACAAAACTAGTGTTCAGGTCTGGACTGCCCATGCTAGCTCCAGAACAGAGCTGTCTAAACGCACAGGGCAGGAGAGTAGAAGTGGAAAGCTGTGGGAGGTAGCTTACCTTAATGTACTGCAGGTCTGTGAGCGCTCGGACACTGAAGTCAGACACATACTGGCCCAGAAGGCAGCTGCCAAACTGGTTGCTGCCTGCCATCGCTGAGGAGGACGGCATGTCTGCATTGCGGTCTGGGTAACTGAGGGAGGCTGAGCGGCTGAGTGGAGTTGGGTGGGCTGGGGACCGGTCTGTGGGGACAACAGATAATCGGTACAGAGCCTGCCCTAGTGCCCACTCCAGCTCCTTGCCTGACCACAGCCATGGACATGAGGACTCCAACCATGTGCCCACCAGGAACAAGTCACAGTTCACAGGGGCAAACAGAAGTACACACACAGAACATCTAACTGCACAAGGTCAGCAAGTTAGCGTGCTTAAAAGTGTCATGTGTGTTAAGAATGTCACCCAAACAAACCAACCAGAAAATAAAAACCAAGACATTTATGGCTACAAAACCCCTAATTAGTCAATATAACACAATGACTTTCCTCATGTGACAGTCAAACCACTATCCTGTTTTAACACCAACTTACGTCGTGACCAACACTTAAAAAAAAAGAGAGAGAGATGGCTCAGTGAAGAGAGCTTGTTGCATAATCACGAGAATTTTTGACATTGGGATTCCAGCACCCATGCATCAAGCCTGGTTTCCAGTCAACATCAGTAATTCAGTTTTTGACAAGGAATTTGGTAAGTTCTTCTGGTCTCCACACAGAGGTGCACACACCTACACATGCATATATTCATGCAGACATGAATAAATAAAAATGTAAAATATTTTAAAAACTTTTTGAAGCAAGGTCTCATTACACAGTCCAAGTTGGCCTCTAACTCAGCCTTCCTACCTACCTCCCATGGGTTGGGATTATAGGCACATTGCACCATATCTGCTTTAAACTGTGTATTTTAAGACAAAACACACATACTAAAAGGAAGAACACACAGGCTGAGCTGAGTGGCACATGCCTGTAATCCCAGGACTCAGGAGGCCAAGGTGTGAAAGATCATGAATTTTAGGCTAGCCTCAGCTACACAGTGAAACCCTGTCTCAAGGAAAAGGAAAGGCATACAGTTTGCATTCTCACTATGAATCCTACCCTGGCAACATGGTACCTGTCACAGCCTACAGTGCTTTTTTTTTTTTTTTTTTTTTTTTTTTTTTTTAAAACGTTTTTTTTTTTTTTTTTTTAAAAAAAATTTTTTTTCAAAAATTTTTTTTATTTTCCCCCTCCCCCTTCTTTTTCACCCCCT